ACAGCAAGCGGAAATTAAACTACAAATCACACGATGATAAAATCATGTCCAGACGACCTAGAAACCGGCCAGGTGTTCGAGTCGTTAAATGGACTGTGGTACATATTCAGTACCCAGGTCGTCACGTGACTGGTTGGCATTAGGCTAATGCCCTATCCTGACGACTAAAATAATGGCCCCACCCTCATCAAAATTATAGTAACGCATGGTGAATGGATAATTACGTGATGCTATAAATCATATTTTTGCTGAGTGCATATCTTAGGAAATCTCCAGGAGTAAATTTTTATCCAGGGTCTCTACAACTATTTATTGTTCTGCTGCAAATGGTTAGCTGCCGAATTAATACTACATGAGAAAGTTTTAGATGAGAAGTTAACCGTATAATTTTACAGCAGAATTTGTCGTTTAGTTCACGGTGAGATAATACTGCACATCTCTTATATAATCAGAAGGGCGGAACCTTAAGCATGCAGTAATAAACGAATGAACGTGGGATGGATCACAATGTTGTGCTCTACTCAGAATTATGCTAAATCTTGTCTTAACAACAGTGTAAAAACCATGTTGGACAACAAATTCCCATTACACAGGCTTCAAAGTATTGTCATCTAATTCTAAGATTACTGCACTCCGTGCTACGTGGTCTACATTGGGGGTCGGAATCTATTTTACTGAGTGGATAATAGGTGTTGTAACCCACGACAGTACTCCCAGACATCTGCGTAAAGATGAACTCATTACTCCTTCAACTCTTGTGGAGTGATTCAAACACGATAACCTAACACTATAAACAGAACGGTGACAGATGAACATAGTATGTTCAATTCTGTACAGCATGAAGCTAGATATACATGTTCAACGTTTGGTACAAAAGCTGATTATAGTGTCGCCATATTAGATTCACACTATCAGACCGGCTAGCATTTCAAAGTGCCAACAGGTTCGCACTTCCGTGAAACTGAAACCCCCGTTCTCTAACATCTTAATACCATTTCCTCTAATTTCCATACATCACCGACTAAGAAACAACTTCGCCCCATATGAGAAAGGCAACTTTATAAATAATAAACCTATTTTGTAATGGTAACACAAAACTGATCTTAATATCTAACTTGCTGAATTGGTAAACAAGTCCAGTAGACGTAACCGGAATAAAATAGCTTAATGTATGGTATCGTTTCCACTCGTAAATCCGACATTATTAGACAAAAAGCCGAATCAAACGAGGTGATGGACATCAGCTAGATGAGTATCAATCAGCTGGGTCCACAATTTGCTATTCGTTGACAGACGTTCGTCGCACACAACTATCGTCGAACGTAGATGCTATTCTATGGTTGGACTGCCGGCCGAATAATTGAAGTCGGCGGACCGTAGACTGCCTACTCGCGATCCACATAGACCCATTAGTTGTGAAAACACACAAGACACAAGGGGTTAAAAATATGATAGATTATGGATAAGGATATGTGTTATGGTGTATTACGCTAACGTGTTAGCCAATACCTGCTCTTTACAATTTGCCCTATATATCCTCCAGTATTCACAGCCCACATTGACCTCATTTAATCTGAACGTGTTAGTGCTTGTAATAAATCTTGGGAAAACACTTTTGATGTTCCTCAATCTTTAAAACTAAATTCGTCTTTTATTAAGAAAAACTCATGAATCAGATATTTATTTCAAACTGTCTACTGAAAAAACCTACGATACAAAGTGTATTGTTTATCATGCTTGCTTATCTCATGGAAAAACGAAAACTTCTTTCAAAACGCCCTCTAGATTGTTTTCTTACTCTCAACTTACGAACGTTCGGACAGAGATGTCAGTTATGCAAAAGCGTGAACTTCATTTGTCGAATTCATGCACACTTCAGCTGTAAGTTTGCATCGTATTCAGGAAATAAAAGAATGACTTAATCTGACATTGTTTCAATCATATGTTCATATTTGTTCAACAATTTCTCGGTTAAATGATCGGTTACTCATTAGCAAAGCATTTCAATCTTATGAGTACCATCCAGGTAGTTATGTAATATGTGCAGATGATGATGACGGTTGACAACAGATGACACTCCAGTAGAAGTATTAAAAACATACTATAGAGGATGAAAATGGAACAAACACAAGCTCAAAAGGTCCACTCAACTACAACGTATACTTGTAACATTGTATTGCATAACATAATCATTTTTATGGCCACCACGACTTTTACAACCCTATGGCAGAATGTCTAAATAATCTCCTCACATTGTACTATATTGGACAAAAGTTTTCAGGAGCAAAGTTCGGTAAAATTAGATTTCAGCGAAGCGGTGAATTGAATGACTTGGTAGTTACGTCATCGGTTTAAACGCTTAAAACAGTTCGTTTCCTTCAGAACTTTAAACAAAACCGTTAGAATACGAAAACGGGTAGGTGCAAGCATTTCGTATTAATTCGTTAGTACTAAATTTACGGTGCCACGAAACGTTTTTTATATCGAACAGTTAGGGGTGGGTGGGATGGATAACCGGTTAATGGGGTAGGAAAGGTCAATCACTCAAGAGCAGGGTCAGGCTCATGCTTAATTGTTTCTGAACACAGGGCAGGCTTCAGTCTGTTGATTTCGACAGTCTCAGCAAACCGCTAAAATCATGGATTGGGATGACGTAATAGGGTTCTGAATGCACAAGCTGAGTCGATAACGTGACCACTGGTCAGGATGTGTCTTGCGATTGCGGACGCTCATTATTTGCTTGTTTCAACGACATTGTCGTTCTTCGGTAATACTGAGATATGCACCCATTTAGCCGAATGTTGCTTCAGTCTGGGAATCAAGCACCTCTCAGTTTTGCCTATGTAACTTTCCTTGCAGTTACGTGTAAACTGGCAGCTAGTGTGTGAGGTGGTACCAAATGGTTGATGTCCCTTGAGTGAAAGCATAGGCAGCTTCTGAGTTCGAGCTAGTACACAAAATTCGGCCCCGTTGAATGTTTACCTAATCGAATTCGTCAGTCTTTGCACTGTTTGATGCACACTGTCATCGTGAGCCTGACCCTGCTCTTAAGCGATTGACCTTTCCTACCCCACTAACCGATTATCCATCAGACCCACCTCTAACTGTTCAATATAAAAAAGGTTTCATGTTACTGTAAATTTGGTACTGACGAGTTAATACGAAATGCTTGCACCTACCAGTTTTCGTGTTCTAACGGTTTTGTTCAAATTACACCGTCACTGACACTTGAATAATTCTAATGAAGTTGTCTTCGCAAAATATGAACAGGAGTAGCGTGATTATTGATGCGTAACATTGTCATATCTCGTTAATGTGGACAGATAACGTTCATCTTGGATAGCTAGGTTGTGACGTTCAAAAGTGGTTTTCGGGCGGATGGCACCATTTACTCACAACCCCACCAGGTTGCCGGTTCAAACTGCATCCAGTCTAGCTGCACTGGGTGAATACAGGTAGTGAAGAAGCCACTGCTAAAATTGGCAAACTGTGATAAACTATGTTTACCCGGACTAATAGGCTGTGAAGTGGTTGCATGGGAACTATATCGTTGGTTCCACTACAGGCAGTGTGTACGGGGGCATTGGCCATACAAATATGATCACCGGCTCTTACTGTGAAGGTTTTTTCCGTTCAAAACGCGTTTAGACTACATCTACATCAGGAATAACATCATTCGGATAGAATCAATCTTAAGGTAAAATTACAAAATATATTGTTTATCGAATACTGATAATATGCACTACTGACTAGCTTTAACAAGAGCAAAACTCGAGTCTAGTGGTTCTCTTCGAAAAAGACTGAGTGGAAAGTTTATGAGAATGCGGAGACTGCAATCAAATGAGAGTGATGTTCAAATTGAAACTTGAAATAACGGTTATCGTAAGATGTAGTAATAAGGCTCTATCGCTACTGGCTTCTATCACAATGTATGAAAATGCTATAACTTATATAGACTGAGTCTCATCAAACAGTACATATGTTTCATTTCGTATTGCGATCAGACAATTAAAAACAGAAAGTCTCAAATGAGCGATGTTCAGATGACTTAATGAGGTGTAATTTGCTGTCAAATGTGTTAGGCTGTAAACTAGAGGTATTTTCGGATCGGAAGGTAGAGTTCAGAGGACAAATTACAAGAACGGAAGCCCACATAAGGTCGCATAAGTTACATATTTCATTAAACTGTCATAGTTGTGAATTCGTACTCCAAAAATCTTCCATCTACAGCATTCTGAGTTCAAAGCATCTGCTTTTTAACTTTTCCCACTTGTCTGAAGGGAGTGGGGTAGCAAAAATTTCGATCCATCGTGTGTGTTTTTAAAAACGACATCTACCATAGGGAAAGTCTGTACATTTAGACCGACACACTGTAAACCAACAAACGAAACTTGTACCCAAATTGTGTAATGAGTATCGTTGGATTAGTACGTTTTTGGAATCTCCAGCCGCTTTTTGAAATCATTATGAAGGACTAAGCGTTTGTTGCTTCGTCGTTTAGTATGTGCTGAAGTATAAGCTTTCAGGTCCTTCGTCAACTCATAGTTTGAACACATTTCACATTTGCTCAAAAACACTCGTTAACACTGCAGTCAGTCCGTGTCTCAACGAGGTACTGTGTGAATGTACACCAGTCTCCTGCTAAATTTCATTGAATCTAAATCATGACCAAACGAAATTAATATTCAAGTGATATCAACCAACTGACTTGACTACCCGTTTACCATTCTGACAAGTGTTATGTGAAACCAAAATGAAATACTACCCCCTGTGTTTGAGTGTAGATTTCTACTGCAAGTTGGAAGAATATGTCAAGACCAAAGAAGACAGAAATGATATCCATGAGTAGACATTTAGTTCCCAGCCGACAAGCAGTCAGATACATTGTCATGAAATACCGATTGTTTGTTTACTGCAAATTCCGAAGTATACTTATATACAGAAATTGCCGCCGACATATTGTGGGTCTATCTTAGATGAGACCCAATTGTGAAAAGCCAGGGCTTCGGCTGGATTCGAACCAACGATAGAAACACTATGCCTCAAAGAGGCAAGCTCTCTACCAGCTGAGCTACGAAGCCAGCCCAGGAGTTCGGAAATTTCACATTTGGACTCAGTTACCCACTCGTCCCACTGTCTCATATGGAATCCACTAAATGATCCAGGGGATCGACTGCCCCGGCAGGATTTCTCAAACAATGCACGCTGGAATCCACCAACGCGCAGAAGTTTGGCCGAAGCCCTGACTTTTCACAGTTGGGTCTCATCTGAAATATATATTTACTTACTGGGACGCTTACAACATCGAGTGAAATGGACGCCAAGTCACATTCTGTACGGTGGTCGTTGGCACATTCTGATCTTGCTGGTGTAGGAAATGATATGGATTATCTCGATAGCTAGGCATTTTATTGGCAGGTTTTATGGAAGTATCGGAAGTGTAATATTTTGTAAAAAGATACCTCCGGCTTGTTGGTGGCTCATATGTTTTTTTAAATAAACAATAGATGTCAACACATCGGAAATACCTGTTGGTCTTCTTTATAACTACGGAAATGTTATATTTCAGTAAGACAGTGTCTCGCTACATGGAGCCTGTTTTTCACGTCGTGCTTTCGTAAAACATGACAATATGTTTGGATTGGCTTGAATCACATAGGACAAATATCGGTACAGCCACAAAGAACATGCATGAAAATATCGTATTTTGCAAAATAAGATGTTCTTTCTTGTAAGAACAGTAGGAAATCAGCAACTTAGCTATAAAATCTTTGACGCTTAGCCTGCGTTGAAGACGAAATGCATTTCTGAGAATGAGTGGTAAGTAAATATTCCGTTAAACATGAAAACTTTTGGTTCAGACAGTCTGCGTTTAAAAGATCCTAGTTAGTATTACTATAGCTATTATTATTATTATTATTACACACAACCCGGATTTCACACAAAGATGCACAGAAAGGACTTTAATGTTACAAAGTTTCCTATTGTTGAACCCCGTTAATCTTAAAAGACCGTTAGTAATTTAGTACGTGTACGGTATTGCAACTAGTAAACTGTACAGTTCTATCGTGAATGTAGACGGTAGGTACAATTGAAAACATTATTGTATTGTTACAAGAAGGACAGGTGTACTGTAAAGGTTACAGGCAAGAGCGAGCAAACAAAACCGTACGGTAGGATGGTAGACTGAACAGTGGCAACAAGCAAGCGTATGGAGACTATAGCTCACTGGTCCAAACAACACCACATGACCCAACCCATGTTCCAACCGAAACAGACACAGACAAGGACACGGTTACAGGCGCTTTATCCTGCCTTGAACTGTAAATCATGCAACCGGGTCCGTCATGTAAAAACGCGTAGTCTGCGTGCGAGTGTGCAACTGGAGTTAAAACCTAATGCGTCTGATATTGTCGGAAAACTGTAGAATGAGATCCTGTTTCGATAAATTGGTTGAGAATAACACAACGTTATCAGCAAATTGTAACACTGGCAGTGAATTGAAAATAACAACGTTATGAGCAAGTCGTAATACCCTACGTTTCAACCACTTCTGATGGCCCTCCACAAGAGTGTTGTAATCGAAATCACATTAACAAAGGAACATAGGTCACATGTGATTTGCTGTGGTTAGGTCAAGCTGCACTGCATCTGAACTGATTGGTCTAATTCTTCGCCCATTAAGTGGGGGTGAGACCGATGTAGACAGGATGCGTGTGTATGGTGTGTTTATCCATCCACGCCACACTACAGACAAGGGTTCGTTATCACTACGATTAGCACAAACGTGTTTTATGTAAATGGTGAGAGTTTCAGCACAGCATCGATCCGCATGGGAAATCAGACCCTTGTGAATCACTCGGGCTTGATCAAAACCTACGTTGTGATTATCTGGCAATGCATGTAGTGTGATGGCCTAATCATTCTCCAACTTCTGAAGTTGACATGCGTGTTTAGTAGGAAATTTCCTGTGTCTCTTGTGTTCGGCAACACCTACTTTCAGCTACCTGTTTATCTCTGCAATGTAGCTAGAATTACAATCGCCACATTTCGTAAACATAGTCTGCCTGATAGTCCATAGAAACTGAATCTTTAGGATGCATTACCAGTCTTTCCAAGGTATTAATTATCTTATTTCATTTATTTTTTTCTTACGCCAGTACCGTTTGGATCTCATTGTTCACTTTAATCTGTCTTGTAGCCGGTAATAAGCTGGTCAGCAGAAACTCTATAGGATTGATAATTAGTATTATGTGAAACTTACTCGCGGTTATCTCTGTGGTACGTACCGAAAGTGTGTAGCTCCCAACATCGTTCAGACTGATTTGAGCTAGTCTAGCCGAGTCAACAATTAGCCGTCTGTAAATGCGAGCGTCGACACCCATTCAGGTGAGTGTCACCAAAAAACGGTTCTACAAAGCTGCTAAAATCACGTGACAGGCGTAGAGATAAACAGTCTGTGGATTGGAACGATAAGCGTGCAGTTCATACATTTGGGCAAGACGGTAATTCATTTCCTCAGTCTTGTAGGCCAGTGAACATCGATTCTCAATTTTGGCAGATGAACCATATTCTTATTAGTTATTTTCAAACCTAATTTACCGTTTGGTTATGTCACAAACACTGACATTTCACAACGCTTTCCAACTTTCATAGCATTAATTTTTCCATACCCTCTCTTTTGTGACCTTGTAGTAATTGCACTCCAGAGCACGGCTGGATTATTGTGTATCAAGTTGTGCTGATTTAGTACTGAACAAAATTAAGCCAACCGGCAAAGAAGACATAATATCCTGTCTGAGTATAGCTGTTAGTAAAGAAATCTAAATAGCATGTGGAAAGCACAGTAAACATTGTGGCGACTGTTGACTGTGACTAGCTCTCGTACTCTGATCACAAAATATAGTCCAACAGAAATCTGTTAAACAGGTACAGCACCAAATATGCAGTCGATCCTGATTGGTCACCGAGAAATCTTCCTGTATTGTGACCTGCACAGCAAAAATGCCTGCTAAATCGCCAGGAAACTGAAATACCGCTCGACAGATTGCTGGTAATGCTCACTTAATGTCGATCGTTAGAGAAGCAAATCTAAGATCTAGCTAAAAGCATGCACTGCGTTTACATAGAAGACATGTAGAAGTGGGTTCGTAAATTCACAAATTTTCCGCAGGCAAACACAATGTTGTTTGAAACAAATTCAACCGAATGGCACATAAATTTGAAGTTTTCGAACAATTCATGACTTTTACTGTGAAAACCTTCAAATAGACATTGAATTTAATGTCTTCACATATCAGTACCATGAGAACGCCTGGGAAAACGTTGCGGAAAATGAAAGCAAGTTTTGATAGTGATGCAGCAACCATAAAATGACAGAAGCAGTGGAGTAGATAAGTTGTGCCGATTATGGTTGTGTCGTTTTAGTTTACGTGGTTCGTAGTTATGTTGTAAAAGTTACAAAACGAGTTATATAGCTTATGAAGTATTTTAATTCTTCAGGTGAGTCACGGATTAGCGTTTTCTAATGAGCAGAACTTGTATATGTGACATCTGAGTGCACTCGAACTGTGGGACCGTTTGTAACGAAACGTCGTCCATGTGAGAGAACGTGATTGTACTTTTGACAAATGACAAGTACAAAATAATTTGAAACATCCATAAGAAACAAGACGTCCTCGATGACTTGTTGAACAGAATACCTCCTCCACTCGCAAAAGCAGACAAGCCAATTTACTGTTTCTATTTTAGAATCAATCATATGTTTTGCACTGTTTACATCGACAGAGAATAAGGCTCCACTCGCGACTGACTGCTGGATGAGCACGCTGATATGTTCGAAACAAATTAGTAGTTTAAACTATATTTAACCAAACTGAACACCATCCACATCTGATCGCAGTCTTAGCATTAAGATAAGTCTTTCAGCTAGCTCACTTGGAAGGAAGATCCAAATCCCCAAATTACGTTTCATGATTCAAACCATACTCAGTTGGTCCAATGAAGATAGCAACCTCAACCTAGCTGAGAAGTCTTGATCGATTGGATTGAACAGAGCGACTGTGTTTAATCTCCCTCAAAAGTGACTGAGCAAGAATACTACTGTTCGTACCGGTTGTGTTTGACCGTTTGAATAAGAATATTCTGTTATGTCTATTATGAGATTAGTGGGGTTGTGGTTAACACACTAGTCACACAAGCACGAGGCTCAGAGTGCAAACTCCGATCCGGACAAGGATATGCACTAGTGATGACCACTAATAAGAGCAAAACTCGAGTTTACTGTCTTCTTTTGAGGTAGACTGGTCGAAAGACTTTACTCAATGAGAATGTTGTGCTCAACTGTTGGCGGTGTTACATTTAAAACAAGTAAAATCCCCCAGCTTCTGTTCACGTGTTAAATCGTAGTTTTTATGGAAGCGCGACCGGTATTACAAATCCGCATTGCCATGTTCGTGTATAGTTTTAATGTGCGTATAAAAAGTAGGATAATAACTGAGTAGACTTAATCTTCGTATATTCATTTTGCTTAATTGGGAAACGCCTGATTGTGTTAGCACCTTGAAAGTGGATGGTATACAGGCTTAATTACTTTTCCACAACCATTTATTCAATGAATCCAGCGCACACGTTCACCATTAGGTGTTCTGCTGCATTGATCGAGCGGTGCGTGTGCTCATTAGTGGTATCTGCATGACCCAGATCGGTTGATTGAAGGCGAATGGACAAATAGCTTATAGAATATAACTGCTACTCAAATTCACCGATTCAGCGGTTTAATCCCAGTAGGTAGGCTAGAATGCAAACAGCCCTCTGAGAGAATGAGTATGCCAATGCACACTGAAATTTGTAGGCATCCTAGAATAACTCTGAAATAGGAATATTCAAGAACGTCACAAATCACTGATGAGTAGTGGGGGATTTGGTTAATTTCAAGTTGACCATCACCCACAACTGATCGCAGATGCCACTTTCCCATAGACTTTCCAGTCAGCCTTTTTCGGAAAGAAGCACTAGACTCGCGTTTTGCCTTCATTAAAGTTCGTCGGTGGTGCATGACCTAGCCACTGTCTGGACTAGA